ATGTGTGTGTGTGTGTGTGTGTGTGTGTGATTGTGCATCACTGTGTGTGTGTGTGTGAGTGTGTGTGTGTGTGTGTGTGTCTGTGAGTGTGTGTGTGTGTGTGTGAGATTGTGCATCACTGTGTGTGTGTCTGTGAGTGTGTGTGGCTGGTGACTCTGCTCCGTCTCTGGCTTGGTCCAGGAAGAAGCCCATTGACAAGCACAAGAAGCTGCTCTGGTACTATGTGGCCTTCTTCACCTCGCCCTTCGTGGTCTTCTCCTGGAACGTGGTCTTCTACATTGCCTTCCTCCTGCTGTTTGCCTACGTGCTGCTCATGGACTTCCACTCGGTGCCTCATACTCCCGAGCTGATCCTCTATGCCCTGGTCTTCGTCCTCTTCTGTGATGAAGTGAGGCAGGTAGGCAAGTGTTGCATGGTTCTCCCCAGGGAGATGTGAATAAATCCTGTTCATCCCAGACAGGACACTGACAGACAACACACCATGGAGATGATTCCAAGAGTCTAGTTTATGGAACCAGTGAGTTTACTGGGGTAACTGACAAGAGAGTGGGTGACTCAAAGGCAGTGATGTCATTAAAAGTTCACCCAGACAACGTATGAAAGCTCCATCTCTGGAAGCCAAAGCCTAATCTATGGACAAATTGCTCCACCAGAGTCTCCTGCCCCAGCAACTGTGACTGTTTCCAGGGAGGTGCCTGTAACTTCAGAGAGCTCTGAGCCTCCTTACCCCTCCCAGGAGAGGACGTTTCCATTAGGAGGAACCGGTTACAACACTGGGCACTTCTTCAAGGTGTCCTCAGTGGATAGCAGCTTCCTGGCACTAAGAGCAATTCGAGCTGTTTCTGAACTACAAATTCGGTCATTATGCCTCAACTAAATTCCTACTGGGTGATAGTGTATGGACCTGAAGGTGATTTTCAAATTCTCAGCACCCCAATGAGATCTCCTAGTGTTGAATTCATGCCATGGCCCCTGATGTTAACTGATGGTCATGGCTCAGCCAGGGAAGTGCCTCTCTTAGTTTTAATATCCAGCTTGACACAGCCTGTGGTCATCTGAAGAGAACCTCAACTGAGGAATCACCTAGATAAGATTGGTATGTGGGTATGTCTGTGGGGGACTGTCTTGATAGTTAACTGATGTACAGGGTCCAAGCCCACTGTGGGCATCACCATCCCTAGGTCCCGGGCTGTGTAAGAGAGCTGAGTGTGAACATGCATACAAGCAATGTTCCTTCATATTCCCGCCCTAGTTTCCCTCAGAAATGGAGTGTGACCTGGAAGTGTAAGTCAAACAAATCCTTTTTCTCCCGAGTTGCTTTTGGTTAGAATGTTCATATCAGAGCAACAGAAATAAACTAGGACAGAGGATGAAAGTGATTAAGAGACCAAGGTCTCAGCTCCTCCATCACTGGGAGTCTCTGTGTACCCATCTTCACCATTACCAGAGACAGCCTGCCAAGCAACTGGAACCTGGGGGACCCTAATGCCTAGCACATCAAGTCTTATGATAATCCCTATGGGTTCTTTATGGCCCTTGTGTGCAGTTTCTTGGGATGTGCATGTTTGGGGATCTTTGCTCCACCATTGAATCCAAACTCTAACCCCAGGCCTCATGGAGTAGGTAATTGTTGAGGTAATAAATGTTGAAAAAAATCCATGTTGATGATGAAGGTGGCACTGTCCTAACCCATGATGAAAACTGGTCCCAGAAATTTCTTTCAGATTCTGTGGTCGTTCTGTTGTCTCTTGTTGTTGGTTGTTCTTTTACTCTAGCCCCATGTTGGAATGCCAAAATGTTGTTGTTGTTGTTTTACTCTTAACTCTTTGGGGGCCTGCAACCTAGCTCCCAAATAAATCACACACAGAGACTTATTCTTTCTTATAAGTGTCCAACCTTAGCTTGGCTTGTTTCTAGCCAGCTTTTCTTAATTTAAATGATCTAATCTACCTTTTGCCTCTGGGCCTTTTCTTTTTCTTACTTCTGTATATCTTACTTTCACTCTTCCTCCATGGCTGGCAGTGTAGCTGGGTGGCTGGCCCCTTCTTTTCTTGCTCCTTGACCTCCCCTCCTCCTTCTCCCCCCTGATTTCTCCTTCTATTTATTCTCGCTGCCCGCCAGGCCCGCCTATCCTTTCTCCTGCCCCACTATTGGCCACTCACCTCTTTATTAGGTCATTAGGTGTTTTAGACAAGCAAAGTTACACAGCCTCACAGAGTTAAACAAATGCAACTCAAAAGAATGCAATGCATCTTTGTATCATTAAGCAAATGTTCCACGGCATAAATGAATGTAACACATCTTAAAATAATATTTTACAACAGTCTCTTCTGGACCTGAACCTTAAAATACACACCATTTAGCAAGTATGTGCCAGGACATAACTTACAGGGTATTTACAGTTTACAAAGTAGAAGGGCCTGGTGTTAGAAGAGATTCGAAGGGGCAACAATGCTGCTCTTGCCCTTGCAGGGCCCCAACTAGTCTAAGAACTCTATGTTGGCTTACACTGTTATGCTGACTCTCTCTGATAGATCTTTATGTGTAGTCTCCAGGACTCCTGGGTTGTGAGGGAGCCTGAGTCCGTTTGTCTATTCTCAGCATGGGTATGTCTTGATCAATTAGTGATTGTGGATATCGGGGCTGGGAAGGGTCCTGACCCCAGTGCCAATATGTACCTGTCTTCTTGACTAGTAGGTAAATGGTATGGAAGGTGTTGGAGTGTCAGTGGGGGTGGAGGAAGAAAGCCCAGGACACACAAGATGGCTTGGGTAACAGTGTTCTGTCTATAGTTCTGGAGGGTTAAAGACCAATTTAGTACTGCAAAGGAAACTGTTCTATCCACTGACTTCTTGAAGTTTTCTGTCCATCTTACTATTCTGTGCCTTGTGGATGTGACACTTTGCACCCTGGCCTCATGTCCACATGGTGCCCTCACTATGTGCAGGTGTGTCCTAATTTCTTCACTTCCTGGGGACAACAGTCATGTTGGATCAGATCAGTTCCATCTGCAGTGACCTGATTTCCAAACAAGGTCACATTCCCAGGTAGAGAGTTGAGGACTTCAGTCTGGAGGTATAGCTCAGCCCATAACACTTCCGTATGGCCTCTGTCTCTGTGGCCAGCCTTGGCTCCCCAGTTCTTCTGGCTTATGAGTGTCACCAGCAGAGTGGGGCTGAGTATTCTGTGTGATAATCAGTGGGACACTCGGCATTCGGAGAAGAACTACCTGGGTCAGAGGATGTATTGGCTCATGGCCAATAGGAGATTAAGCCATGAGGATTTGGTGGGGCAGAGAAGGAAAGGGAAGGGGAGAGGGAGGAAAAACCCAGTCGGAGTTGCAAGCAGGCAGTGAGTGGTGTAGTAATTTTGTTTCTTTGTTCTTCCCTTTCTCTGGGTGCATTTCCTACTGAAGGAACTCCTAAGAGAAGCAGACACATGGATAGAGCTGTTTCCTCTTGTACCAACCCAACAGGGAGTCCTCTGAGTGTCCCTAGGTCCTGGCATATGCTCTGGTGGTCCCAAGAACAGCATCAAGGGTGGGAGGATCTACTTTAGACTTTCATTTGCTGTGATATCTGATATCATCATGCTGAGAATGTTGTAGTAATGCTGGAAGAGTCAAGCAGGGTGCTCATAAGTCATTACTGAAGGTCACCATGGACATGGATACTGAAGCCAGAGAGATAGACAGAGGGACTTTGTCCTCACTCTCTTTTGAGCAGAGAAACCACGGTGGCCTTTTCTTGGAGTGGTTGATAAAACATGAGCAAGTCTGCAGACCACTGCCCTAAAGTTTTGTACTTGAGGATTCTGCCACTAGAGGGCGCTGCTTCCCTTCATTTCTGCAGAACCTTGTCTTTGGATTCCTAAACTGGGTTAGTTTCCTTCAAGGAAGAGCTCTGCAGGCCTGTACAGTCAGTTTTGCCAGACAAGATTCACAGTTGTTAGGGAAAACCCCTAAACAGGACAGTGTCTGTTTTAGATTGTATCTGGGACTCAGAAACCCAATACTCTCTGGTGTCGAGTGATGTCCCTTGCCCAGAGGAGGAGGCTCACACCTAATTGGGGATTTATAACCTAGACAGTCAATAGTGCAGGCCCAGTTAACTCACTCTTAACAGAGCTAAGCAGACATAGTAGATGTTTGTTTAAAATCTGATAAGTTTCACCCCACCTTCTTGGAAAGTTCCTGTAAGTCTGAGGCCGTCACAGTGCAAAGGAGAGGATGAAGACACCCTGGTATTTCATGAACACAGCTTAGCCTTGCACTTCCCCCCTTAGACAAGAGGCTTCTTTTCATTTAAAAACCGACATCTTTTCTCCCTGTAGTGGTATTCTAGTGGCCCAGGATTCACCTATTTATTATACCTGCAATACAGGCCAGGCTTCTGGAGTCCCTCGGGTGAGAATAGGCTGGGGTAGTACGGATCCATGTGTACCAACCTCCCTGAAGGTGAAAAGGAGAGCAGGTGGGCAGGGCCTGTGCCAACCACTCTCATCTTAGCAGGCATGGAGTAGCAAATGGCCGTTGGTGCCCCGAGGGTCAGCACTGCCCAGATAAATGGATGCTCCTGTGTCCTCTCCAAGGTCCTAACCTTGAACCAGTCTCCCCACAGTGGGACATGGTCTAACACAGGCTGCCCAGGCCTGGGGGAGTTCACCGTCCCATAGTGATCTGGCCATACTCTCTTCCTCTGCTCACTCAAGCTGTGTGTCCTGCCTCCTTCCTGCATCCAGATTGCTGGATATTGGTGGATCCTAGAAGCCCATCATTATCAGTGTGGGCATCTTAGCCAAGATGTGTAGGTCTTGGGGTCAGAGTCAGTAGGAAATAGGGTATTGAAGTCCCAGATAGACTCGGGTGGCT